ATCCATGAGATGATTTCAACATGCAGGAGTGGATCAAGGGAATACAGGTTGAACTCAGTAAACTCCAAATTAAAGACTAAAGTCATGGAGTTCTTCATGCAAGGAACTACCAATGTACAGATTGGACATTTAGATAGTTTAGAACTATTTAATACTGCAATGTGATAACAAGGTGTAGAGCTGGATGAACACAGCTGGCCAAGCAGCATCAGAGGAGCAGGAAAGCTGACATTTTGGGTCTGGACCCTTCTTTAGATGCTCTTCTGATGTTGCCTGGCCTGCTGTGTGCATTCAGCACTACACCTTGTTATCTCAGCATCGGCAGTTTCTACTATCTCTTAATACTGCAATGGTTTTTGTTTTAAAAAAATCATGGCATGTAGGCATTGCAGGCTGGGCCAGCATTTATTGCCCATTCTTAATTGCCCTGGAGAGAGTAGTGCTGAGCTACCTTCCTGAACTGCACCAGCTCTTAGGATTTAGGCACACCCACAGTGCTGTTAGGGAGGGAGTTCCAGGATTTTGACCCAGCAACAGTAAAGGAACAGCAATACGTTTCCCAGCCAGGATGGTTTGTGTCTTGGAGGGGAAATTGTAGGTGCCGGCTTTACCATGTGTTTGCCGCCCTTGTCTGTCCAAGTGGTAGATGTTTGAAAGGTGCTGTCTAAGGATCCTCGATGAATTGCTGGAATATATGTTGTACTACTGCTACTGAGTGTCAGTGGTGGAGGAAGTGAATGTCTGTTGATCTGGTGTCAATCAAGTGGTTGATTTGCCCTGGCTGGTGTCAGGTTTCTTGAGTGTTGTTTGAGCTACACTCATCCAGACAAGTGGAGAGTATTCCATCACACTCCTGACTTGTGCCTTGTAGACAGTGGACAGGCTTTGGAGAGTCAGGAGTGAGTTACTGCCAGATTCCCAGCCTCTAATATGCAATTATAGCCACTGTATTTTTATGGCTAGTCCAGTTCAGTTTCTGATAGCAGAGAGTGCAACTAATAAAAGAAACTAAAATGGTTTACCAAGCATGATTTTAAATTTGTTTTTAAAGTTTTTGACAAGGTTTGTTTTGTATGTGAGGGATATCCCTTTAAACTGAGCTGAGTGACAATGTGACTGAGATTAACAGCAATCGAGTGACTTCTTCAGCTAATGGTATCAATCAAATCAAAAGTTGCTTTTGGCAACTGTATTCAGTGGATTTGCAACATTGGACAGTGAAATCTAGTTCTTTGTCACGATTCACATTGTCTCTCACTCAGCTTGTACTTCAGAGTTTGTAAAGTTGCTGTCAGGTTACACTCAGTGCTGTGTTTGTGTTTGTGTATAACCAGTGAGAACACTGTACCTTCCTGTCCACAAGGTTCAAGTCTTTCTGCAGAGACCTCAGCAGCTAATATGAACCGACTCTTGGGTCTTTAAAATACGACATAAACTGAGGTCCTGCTTGTCCACTCTGGAATTGTAAAGTATTCCATGGCACTACTTTTGAAGAAGATACAGCAAATTCTCCTACTTTTCAACAAACTGATAATCTGGTCTCTGTTTCGCAGCAAGCTGTGCAAAAATTGGCTGTACCTTTCCAAAGTTATAATAGTGGTCGCACGTCAAATGTATTAATTGGCTATAAATGCATTGGCACATCTTGAGATTGTGAGAGTACTGCAGAAATTCAAGACCTTCTTATTTAGGAAGATTAGGATTTAAGAACATAGGAACAGGAGTAGGCCATTCAGCTCATCAAGCCTTCTTGGCTTGAAATTCACTTAGAGCATGGTTGATTGGATTGCGATCTTAAGTCCACTTTCCTGTCTGCTCCTCCCACTCCCACCACACCCCAAAAAATTAAACATTGATTCCTCTGTCTATCAAAACTCTTAGCAGCCTTGAATAATTTCACTGTCCCAGCCTCCAGTACTTTTGGATGATGACAATTCCATAGAAATATGAGCTGGAGTAGGTTGAATGGCCTCTCAAACTTGTTCTTCTCCATTCAATATGATCCTGACTGATCATAGAATCCCTACAATGTGGAAGCAGGCCATTTGGCCCATCAAGTCCACACTGCACCTCTGAAGAGCACCCCACCCAGATCCACCCTCCTACCTACCCCCGTAACGCCACATTTCCCATGGCTAATCCACCTAGCCTGCACATCACTGGACACTATGGGCAATTTAGCATGGCGAATCCACCTAACCTGCACATCTTTAGACTGCGGGAGGAAATTGGAGCACTCGCTCTTCCACTTTGACTCCACTTTGTTTGTTTCCCATCTCCCCACTCCCTTGGAGACAACTAATCTGTCCATCTCAGCCTTAAAAACATTGAACCGAGAAGCATCTGCCACACTCTGAAATAGGCAGTCCCAAAAACTCTCATCCTAATTTCTCCTCACTTCAGTCCTAAATGATTGGCTGCTTCTCCTGAGAATGTGCCCACATGATCTAGATTGTCCAGCCTGTGGAAAGAACATTTTAGCATCTAGCCTGTTTACTTCCTTCCGAACCTTGTATGCTTCAATGAGAGGACTTCTCGTTTATTCAAGTTTCAGTTTACTCGGCCTCTCATCTTAGGATGACCCTCTTGTTCCAGGGATCAACTTAGTGAATATTTGCTGCACTATCTCCAAAGCAAGTATATCCTTCCTTCAATATAGTGTCCAACATTTACTTTCATGCAAGTCATTCATATAAATTTTAGATCGTGAGACCCCAACGCTGAGCTCCGTGACACTCTGAGTTACAACCTGCCAGTTTGAAAATGCCTCATTCAAGTTGACTATTTTCTTCATGTTAGCCAGTCCTCTATCTGTGCTAAGGACCTTGCTTTTGTGTGGACCTTTGCCAAATGCTTCATCCCAAGTATGTTGCATCTACTGGTTCTCCTTTGTCGACCATGCTCTTTACATCCTCAAGAACACTGTAATGACCTTGTCAAACAGATTTTCCATTTTTAAAATTATATTGACTTTGTCTAATTCTATAATTTTCTAAATGCAGTAAACTTACTAAATAATATTTGGCTTGTCAGCTAAAATGATATCAAAAGTAGTGGGGTAATGGACAGTGAAGAAGATTATCTCAAAGTACAGTGGGACCTTGATCAGATGAGCCAATGGACCAAGGAGTGACAGATGAAGTTTAATTTAGATAAATGTGAGGTGTTGCATTTTGGTAAAGCAAACCAGGCAGGCTTATACAGTTAATGGTAGGGCCCTGGGGAATGTTGCTGGACAAAGAGACCTAGGGGTGCAGGTGCATAGTTCCTTGAACGTGGAATCGCAGGTAGACAGGATAGTGAAGAAGGTGCTTGGTACGCTTATCTTCATTGGCATGTGCATCGAATATAAGAATTGGAATGTCATGTGCAACTGTATAGGAAATTGATTAGGCCACTTTTAGAATACTGTGTTCAATTCCGGTCTCCCTGCTATGAGAATGATGCTGTTAAATTTGAAAGGGATCAGAACAAATTTAGAAGGAATTTGCTAGGATTGGAGGGTCTAAGCTAAAGGGAGAGGCTGAATAGAATGGGGCTTTTTTCCCTGCAGCATCGGAGGCTGAGAGGTGAGCTTATAGAGGATTATAAAATCATGAAGAGCATGGATTGGGTGAACAAAAGGGGGTCCAAAAGTAGAGGGCATAGATTTAAGATGAGTGGGGTAAGATTTAAAAAGGACCTAAGGGGCAACATTTTCATGCAGAGGGTGGTGCGTGTATGGTACGAGCCGCCAGAGGAAGTGGTGGAGGTGGGTACAATTACAACATTTAAGAGGCACCTGGATGGGTACGTGAATAGGAAGGATTTAGAGGGATATGGGCCAAATGCTGGAAAATAGGACTAGATCAGTTTAGGATATCTGGTCGGCATGGACAAGTTGTTCTGAAGGGTCTGTATCTGTGCTGTACAGCTCTATGATTCTGATATGATTGTGCCAGTTTTCCACCAGGCAGGTTAGGATAAAGTTCCTGACTCCAACCCTGCTGGCTCTGTCCAGCCTTGTTGTTTGGGAGCAGGGTGTCAGATGAGTCATGCTTTGCTCGAAAGAATGAATAGCCTACTTGTGTCCCTAAGACCTGCGTTCCTATGAAACAGTCCATGTACTCCTGGAATTAGATGGAATATATTTGTCATAAGTCTTAGCACCTCGCTTCCATTTTGAATTTCTCAAGTTTTTAAAACTTCAATCTGGGGTTGGCAGCTTGAGGCAGGCTAATGGGTTCCAAAGGTGTTACCTGCCCTCTTGTTACTTGCCCAGCTCATAGATGAACACCGGCCAACAACCCGACCAGTGGGGAACAGGAGAGCTGAGTCAGGCTGTTAATTGTCAGGAGCACATGCATGCTGTTATCTAGTCGGGATTACCCTATGGTGATCGGGGAATGAGCACCAGCTGACTGCTCCCCCTTCCCACCTCCTGAGCTGGACGCAGCTGAGAGCACTCAGCTCCCTCTGGATATAGTTAACCAAGCACCGTGTTACACAAATACCAATCGTCTGAAAACCTGCCAGCTCTTCTCCATCTCGTACAACTTCCCTTTCTGACCTTTTCCCTCTGTTTGATTCCAGCTGGGCCTGGATGTTATGATCCAGCTAAGAATAAGAGGGCTGCTTTGAACCATGCACCAAAATGGTTTCTAACCCTACATCCTTGGGGTTCCTGTTACACATTCACAATAATACAATAGTTACTCTTTATTAGGTTTTCTGCAGAGGGCATCAGTTCATCTTGGGCTTTCCAATGGAAATTCCACTGAGTGTGGAATTAATGTTAATTCATGGCTTTTGTTTGGACAAGAGTTCAGAGTTTAAGCCCATTACCTCAGTTACAAGGAATCACCGAAGCCTCGTAACTAAACCCTGCTAAGATTTCTCACATCATTAGATTGCTTTACATATTTTTCTCCTGCGCGGTGACTTTAGGAATTGGTCAAAAGCCCCATAATATTTTGAAGCTTGATTTTATTCTCCTTTCTTGTCTCCCCCTTCCTCAATAGCCACCCCTTGCATCAAAGCCATCAGTCCCAGCGAGGGCTGGACTACTGGAGGAGCCACTGTCATCATCATTGGAGATAATTTCTTTGACGGATTGCAAGTCATATTTGGCACCATGCTGGTCTGGAGTGAGGTACGTGAAGGAAATATGTATACCGGCAATTTAGTAGTGATCATTGGTTTCTGATCCTATGCTAACTCGGGTACCTCATATGAAGGAGAGAGTAATTCTGCAAGAATTGCCTCCAATAAACATATGCCTTGTCCGCCTATGTCTGCTGCTAATGTGACAGTGATGATTATAAAGTTCAATCCAACTAAACCTCCAAGGGTTTCTTATTAGTGCTGTTGGAATGATTGTTTCTGCATGCAGTGTCAGCATCTACATTTTAAGTTAAGGTCTCCCAAAGCTCACTTGAAAGCTGCCCTGACCAAAATAGCTCTCTCTCTCTCTCTCTCTCTCTTTCTCTCTCTTCCTTTCTCTCTCTCTCGCGCTCTATTTTTCATTAACACTGTGCCTTATCAAATATTTTTTCAAATTCTGCAGAAATTGCAGCTGGGACTGTGGCACAGCAGGAGAAAAGATATCAGCTGTTGGCAGAATGGACATTGTACCATGGATATTGAAAGGATTATACACCTTGAGCAGTGCACCATTAAATTGCATTTCCTTCCCATTGTTTAACGGTTTGTTCTTTGCTGGTGTATCACTTGATAATCTAAGGAGATTATTCGGCCCATTGTACTTGTGCTGAGTCCTATCTAGTTTCATGCCATTGTTTAATCTGATGTAATATGTTTCTGAGGAGGAGAGGATAGAAGAATGTCACATGACTTACACAACTATAAGTATGTAACAGTCACTATATTTAGATTCTTCTTTCTTCACTGTCGCCCAAAATCCTTTGACTCTTCAGAGATCATTGACTTTTGCTGGAGTACGAGTCCCTGGTTAAGCTCTGGATCAAAGTGTCTGTTCTTCATCTTTAAGCACAGAATTGAGTTACAGTAGGCTGCGTCACTGCACTAGGTGCCACAGCTGAACCTGCACCCCTGTTTCATCCGACACAGACAGGAACTGAAGCGGAATAATTGGGAGCAAGAACCCTGGCTGATTTTTCTCCTCAATCCCAGCCCATGTTAGCCCAAAGGCATTGAGGTTAATTTTAGCACCTCTGCTCCGACTGCCAGCTTAGGTCAATGAACTGGGCAGTGAAGATTCAAAGTGAACCTTTGGGAGAGCTTAACTTAAAGCCTAAATGCTGGCACTGCATCCAGAAGCAATTACTCGAATAACACTAATAAGAAACATTTGGAGCTTTAGTTGCATTTAACTTTATAATGTGCACTGTCACATTAGCAACAGATTTAGGCAAACAAGGCACATGTTTTTTGGAGGCACTCTTTAACAGAGGGGCTCTCTCCTTCACATGAAATAACCTCATGTTGTGTCGACATAAGCAGTTGTCTGTGAATGATGAGCGTAAATGTGACTGCCAGGATGGCCGCATCTGTTGGGAGTAAGACTCAACTGGAGCACAGAGACAATAAGGACTGCAGATGCTGGAAGCCAGAGTCTGGAGGTGTGAGGCTGGAAAAGCACAGCAGGTCAGACAACATCAGAGGAGCAGACTCACACCTATAGACTCAGGGGAGGCAATGGCCTAGTGGTATTATCGCTGGACTGTTAATCCAGAGACTCGGATAACATTCTGGGTACCCGGGTTCAAATCCCTCCATGGCAGATGGTGGAATTTGAATTCAATAAGTGTCTGGAATTAAGAATCTAATGATGACCGTGAATCCATTGCCGATTGTCGGGGAATCGGGGAACCAGAACCCCTCTGGTTCACTAATATCCTTTCGGGAAGGAAACTGCCGTCCTTACCTGGTCTGGCCTACAAGTTACTCCAGACCCACAGCAATGTGGTTGACTCTTAATTGCCCTCTGGGGAATTTTGGATTGACAATAAATGCTGCCTAACCAGTGACTCCCTTATCCCATAAATGAATATTAAAAAAAAGCTGGAGCACAGCTTTGTGGCATGGTTGTGGGCATGGTCACTGTTGTAGTCAGCTCCATTTGCTGGTTCCAGTAAAGTTGCTCATCTTCCCACTGGAAGGCTCTCCGAACCCTCCCCATCAGGATCTTCTGATGTGGAGTTCAGTCAGTCACATTACAGGGAACCTGGGATCCTCCTGCGAGTGGGAAGGGTGGTGTAGATTAGTGGATATGGCACTGGATTCATGGAAAAGAACTCTAGGCTAACGTTCTGGGTTCAAATCCCACCGTGGCACTCCACACATGTTTGCAATCTCTTGGTGTCAAGAGCGTCTCAGTGGAGTTTAGATGTGATCAAGACTCTGCCGTCCTGTTCATTCCCAGTTGGGAATCCAGTCTGCACTTACTGACTTAAATAGAATAGTAGAATATTAACTTAGGAGATGTATGTTTCAGATAGCACCAGTGGAGGAAATTCCAACATTAGCATTGAGATTGGAATCCAAATTGAGCTATTTAACCCTGTGTCGACCATTGCATGAGCCAACAACTGTGTGTGGCTAATTGGAAATCCAGATGTGGCTGATTGCGTACCTGATTAGTAATTAAAAAATAAAGAATAGGCACAGTCGTGGAACAAGCAATCTTGATGTTGATATTCGTTAGGGCCTTTGTGTGTGAACTTTATGGCTGTTTATTCGCAGTGTCCCGTGGACCCACTGCTGCTACACCTGTAAGGCTGGAAGTGCATGGTCAGCTTGAAGCCGGTGTTCTTGCCAAATGCTGCCGTGCGTGAGCTCCTTTTTACCGCGTTCAAACAGCAATCGATCCCAGAGAAATCAGCTGCCCAATATGTTGCAATGTGCCTGCCAGATTAGCGAGAGGGCACCCCTGTGGGGACTCTTGTCAGTTGCACAACATTGGCCAGATTGCCACGTTCCAGACTGAGAAAACAGGCAAATCCACACGGATCTGTAGGGAAGCCCATTAGGTGTCACTGCTAGCGTGGGCACCTACTCCTATCATTCTAACAATCCCATTTCCAGCATTCTGAAGCAAGGAGACTGGCATTAGCCACTCTTTAAGATCCCATCTCTCTCATACTATCTCTTTCTTTTCCACTCTTTTCTGTTTCTCAGACTGTAAGGCCTCTTTGTTTTTTTTCTCCCCCCCCCCACCTTTTTGACCCTTCCTTATCTCATTTCATTTTTGTTTCAACTTTTGCCATTATTTCTATCCCTTTGCGCTCCTTGCATTTCTGTCCCTCTCTCTGTCTGTCTCCCACTCTCTTTTAGTCTCGCTGGCCACCCCCTAGGCTGGTGGAGGCAGACATATGGCAGCAATTTCCATTTGAATGACACCCTCTGGCCGTTCCTGTAAACCTCAGACCGACAAAATTCACCTCTCGCTCTCAAGCCTGGGGCCCACCCAGCACCATATGTTAACAAAAGGGAGACTTGAATGGCTCAATATCTCAGCCTAAGCAGCAAGGGGTTAGATGTGATTTTGTATTATTTATATTAGAGGTGACCTCTTTAACCCTGTGGATCCTGGAAGGGTTTCAGATTATAACACCCTGGAACTTGAGCTTCTAAATGCTCTCAAGCCTTTATCGGCTTTGTCAGAAATGAGATTTATGCAAAGTATAGCTTGGCATTCATTAAATTGGGCAGAAGTGCTGATTATTAACACATTCCTTTAATTGTTGCTGTTAATAAGCATTGTTCAGCCAGTGAACGACTATTATTTCAAGTATATTCTTCACACTGCAGAAAAATCATTTTACAGTCAATATAACATTGATTCTCAGGCTTCCTCATGTCTAAAAGCACACGGTAAAATAAGGTATTCCAGAACTTGCCCTGTAGGGAGTTCGAGGTCATGTTCGACCAGCAGAATGTGCTTGTTTTATGTTTCAGGACAGGTTCCCCAAAAACCAAACTCACATACGTCGTCATTTGAAACTTGCCAGTGCGGTTTTTATTTTTATTTGTTTTTATCTGTTGGGACTTTCCCCTCAGTGAGGGTTGCCTGATTGCAGAGGTGACCATGATTCTCCTGGATTATTGCTCCTGTCTGTCACTTGGGTCGACGTGACTACAGGATCCATAGAATAAGAGCAGAGCTGTACACAACACTCGTCCGCCAGCTACTGGAGCACTGCAAACAGTTCTGATCACCAGATTACTGGAAGGATCAGATCACACGGGAGAGGGCACAGAGGAAATTTATGAGGATGTTGCCAGAGGTCGAAGGGGGAAGGATTGGGTAGGCTGGGCATTGATTTCTTTGAAATAGAGGAGAGATTTAATTGAGGCTTATAAAATTATCAGTGGCGTAGAGTGGATAGGAAACTCTTACTTACTCAGCAGACAGGTCAATAACCAGGGATGGTAGAGTTAAAATTTGTCAAAAGCTTTGGTGGGGGGTCAAGGACCAATCTTTTCATTTGGAGAGTGAGGGGAAGTTGGGACCTGTTGTTTGGAAAGGTAATAGGTGAAGAAAGCTTCATTACATTCATAAAGCATATACACCATTACTTAAAATGCTGTGAATCAAGAACTGGAAAGTGGTATTACACATGTTTTGGGCAACACAGGGCTAAACAATCTCCTTCTGTGCTGTACTTCTGGGTTCATTCCACTGGGAAAGAATTGGCTGTTCAAACTTGCCCCAAGATGTAACCCCCACCAATTTGTGAAAGAGCAACACTTTTGTGAGAAAAATTGCTCAACAAACCACATTCTGTTCAGAGGTGCTCACATGATGCTACAAAACTACACTGAAACACAAACACATGCACAGCTTTACTTGGTAAGAAACGGTAAATAGCTCTTCAAAGTTTTATGCAATTGTCTTACAATCCCCAGGAGAATACATGGCTAAGGGGAGGGAAGCCTTGTCCAGACACCCCATCATTATGGGTGTGGAGAGCTCTTGTTGGAGTAACTGATATTTGTGTCCTTCACGTTAATACATATTTGTGTATACATAAGTGTGTGTTCAAAGACAAATGGTGTGCTCAGACATGGGTTTATTTATGCACGTAGGCAGCATCGTGTGTGTGTGTGTGTGTGTGTGTGTGTACCTTGTGCTGGCTCTCCCAATGATCGATTCACATTCTTGTTCCT